GAAACCGTTACAACTCTGTGTTATCTAAGGTCGATGGATTACTGCTCGGCTACGTCGCTGCTAGTGCGGTGGAACATGCGACATCAATCTGCGTTGCATCAATCTGCGTTGCATCAATCTGCGCTGGTTGCAGCGGTGATGTGTGCGTCGCTTTGTTCTCTTCTTTTGAACACGGAACATGTGTTGAAATCGGTGCGAACTGTGTTCACACATGCGCGTGCATGCACATAACTTGCGTGGCCACGTGGTTTTTGTATGCGAATATGTGTTACCAATGTGTCACCTGAGAGAAAATTTTGTAGCTGAAAGTTAACATCTTTTTTTCTTTTTTGTTGTTGTTTCAAGATGGCCGTTGTCCAGGTCTTCGCCTGTCTTTTTCGTCAGTGAAGCACTCCCGTTCTACTGCTTTTTTTACCTCGCAGCGCTTTCGCTCTGCTGGTCAAGGTATAGGCGAACACCACAAATATCTTCTAGGACAGTCACTTTGGTATCTTCACGATTCATTGTTGCCTGTCAGCGTACGCATTGTAAACGAGGAACATCTTCCAGGGCAGTCACTGTGGTATCCTCACGCCTCGTTGTTGGCTGCCAGCGTACGCATTGTGAACGAGGAACCTGTCGTTCGGGTTGCGCTGAAACTGGGATCGGCAAAAGTGCAACGAACGATTAAAGCAGTCTGTGTAGAAAAAATGCTCGGTTGGTAAAAAAAAGAAAAAAAGCAAGGAACGTGACTGGAATGCAGTCTCGCTGATTTTCGCAAAGCGATCATTGATTGCTGCCCCTTCTCTAGCCAGCCCTTCACGGCAAACCAAGATGACCGCGCTTTGAAAGAAAAATAACCATGAGTTTTTTTCTGTTGTTGTTGTTTTTTCTCACAAGTGCTTCCTCTTGGGCGAGTTGGTTCTTACATTGCTCAGTTGCAGTGCACTAGGCCTGACGTTGACGTCCTACATTTGGTAACCCCCAAAAGTCGCGAATCGATGCGATACGCAAACTTTTCTTTTTTTACAGAGAAAGCTGTTATACGAGATCGCAACTCGGGTCACGCGTAGTTGTCTGCCGCCGCCGCCGGTTTCCGTAACAGCACCAAGGACACAGTGCGGTTCGAAATTCGGGTCTGCTGGGTGCGAGCCCAGTATTCTACCACTGAGCTACACCAGTGCTTGTGACTTGTTGTCGAACTTGCCTTAGGCAGACTTGATGTCGGGAACGCGATTGCGTTAATACGACTTATAATGCGTTTTACAACAGCGAAAGAACAACCAGTCGTCACACAATGCGAATGGCGTAACGAGTGGGCCGTCCAATGCTCCAACCCACTACAAAAGGTTATTCTTTATCACCCATTAACTGTGGCGCGTATACCCACTTCAGCCACATTTCCTCGTGGTCGCCAGCCACTGCATGAAAAATTGGCGCGAAATTCCTTGCAAGTGTTTAGCGGATACCACGCTTCTCAAAAGAATGACGAAAAATAGCATAGCGAATGCTGACCTACTATACTCAAGCGTTTATTATTAATTCCCTAATGAGTATCAAGCAAGTCCGCTTCCAGTAGGTACCCAATGGGTGTTTTGAAAAGGCTCTGTAAGGCCGCTCTTCTAGCTTTCGCTGTGACTGTGATGCGCCTTCCGCGCAGGTCTGGCGTTTTTTAAAATAGCTGCTGAAGTTGGCGTCGTGTTTTTCTGCAAGAGAGGCTACATTCATCCAGTTTTGTCCGGGCGGGCTCCTATCAAAACGCCGAAAACCAAAAAAAGCTGAACTATGAAAAGGCCGAATGTCAGAACGGCGAAAAATTGATATGCTGAAAAAGTGTAATGCCGAAAAATGAAAACACCGAACAGACAGAACGCCGAAACAACGTGCTGCGAATTTCATTAAACAGTGTGAAGAATAAATGACGTGCTTTGTAAATTGTGACGAGCACTTGCTCATTTCCGCCGTGTCACTGTCCCCTGATCTAGCTGTTTAACGTAGTCTGCAAATGTACCAGCATAATATTATTAAACCGGTCCACATTTCTGTATTTTTTACCTGTCGTGAAGCTATAGACAAAACGGCTCTTTCGAGTCAGCAGAAAAAAAAAACATGTGTTCAGTTTTTGGAGTACAAAAACAGCAGCAACGTAAGATAACTGTCATTTGATTTAAAATAGAATAAGACACCGTTGTCGTGTGCTTTCAGAAGAGAAAAACTGAACTTTGATACAAAATGAATATGCGTAGATGCTTAGAAAAAGTATACGTTCTAGGCACTGGAGGTGCGAGAGGCTAGGCAAGTGTAATGCTAGAATGATTACCGACCTTCATGGATAACATACGCCTCGCCGCGGTGGTCTATTGGCTAAGGTACCCGGCTACTGACTCGCAGGTCGCGGGATCGAATCCCGGCTGCGGCGGCTGCATTTCCAATGGAGGCGGAAATGTTGTAGGCCCGTGTGCTCATATTAGGGTACACGTTAAAGAACTCCAGGTGGTCCAAATTTCCGGAGCCCTTTACTACGGCGTCTCTCATAATCATGTAGTGGATTTGGGACGTTAAACCCCACATATCAATCAATCAATAAATGGATAAATGGATAAGGTACTTGCTAAGTCGTCTATAAAGAAAAAAAAACTGGTCCACGCTATAGCCATGCTCTGTAAGCTTTAGAGCGACAGTTCTTAGCTCTCAGAAGCGGATCGAAGCTCTGGTGGTAGCGCGCCTGTGGAGCTTGTGCAGCAAAACACAGCATATGTATCACCGTCTTCAAGGCAACACCTTCCGAGTGATGAAGCCTTGCGCCAGCTGTGTGAGAAAGAAAAGCGGACTGCCCACATGAGCCATGGAGGAACTCGGCCTAGAGGGCGAGTTTCGAACAACCGTAGATCGTCATTGCTTGAGTTCTCTTCGAATGGCTGAACCATATATTCGAAGAGAACATGGCTCTTGGAAACGAGGGAGAAAGCGCATGCATATTGTACAACACCGGTGGAACCTTTATCTTGGGAATATGCATGATCTTCTATACTATAGCTGGGTGATGTCGGCATTTTGATGATTCGATTTCTCGGCATTTTAAATTTTCGACTTCTTATATTTTCGGTGTTTTAAGTATCGGCATTTCGATAGTTCGGCCACTTGATTTTCGACGTTTTGAGTGCCACCCTGTCGGTGAAAAGGCACCCCGCGCTTTCACGATGCCATCGAGATTCGGAACAGAACGCGCATGCCGTTATGTGGCCACAAGTGCTCCGAGATCATCGCAAGGGTCCTGTGTACACGAGTTAGTTGGCGAGTGAACAGCATAATGAAAGAGTCCCGTTTGTAGCGATGTGTACGCTCACAGGTTGCATGCAACAGAAGCGGGAGCCCGGCTCGGATATTTACGGTGTTCTGCTGCCAACACAGAAGGCCGCGGGTTCGACCCTGGTCACGGCGGCCGTATTTCTATGGAAGCGAAATTCTGGATGCCCGCGTGCTATGCGATGTACGACGACACACTTCATGGTCATATCTTGATTTTGGTACGTGCACCGCAGGTTTTAAGGAAAAAAGGCAACGAAACCAGTGCAGTCCCGATGGTGACGGTGAAGTAGACTACTTTTAACCTCATCAGAATACATCACCTTTTTTAAAAGATGACAGCAACCTTGAGCCAGTGTGTTTCTCTAATCATTTATTCGCGTGCGGCCGATGCGATGTAGCCGCTTATTAGCGTCTTGAGTATCTGATTGACCGCCTGCCATCATCGCGATGGCAAGCGTGATGATGGCGAGCAAGAGCGCGATCTCGCAGTGCACAGGACAAGTGAAAAATGCTGTGCCGTGGAGTTTTACATTTTAACTCTCTAACTAAAGCGAACTACATGCGTTTCTGCTTTGTGAAGTGCATGTAACTATAGACACAAGCTTATTAGAACACAGAAAACGGAGCTTCATTGACTTGTGTCTCGCGCGTGCCCCTCGTTCTATTTCGTATCTTTCGTTCGTCTGCAGGACGTGTCATTCATAGTGTTGAAAAAGCATGCTTTAACAATTAGTGACATCGTATTGCGGCTTAATATTGTGAAAGCGTGAGTGGCGATCAGGAAACGCATCCCTTGAATGGTGTGGCGGGAGAAACGGGCAGCGTATGGTACACGTAATTTTTTTTTTATCTTTTCAGTCTCAAAGAGAGGTGGGGTATGCTGCATAGCGTTTTGCCATTGCAGGCGGTGCTACGAGAATCCTCACAAAAGGCGCAGCCGCGACGAACACTCGACATTGTAAAGGGGAAAGAAGGACCGACAATGGGTTTTCGGGGTCCTAAGGCAGCAGAGGGGAGAGTAGGGGGTGATGGACGATCCTATTGGCACAGCAGGGACACCATTCACTTCGGTTAGGGGGCTCGCAGGCCTTTATCTTTTTTTTTCTTCGAATGGAGTGGGGTGGGGCGGCATGTCACCTTCTGTGCAGCGTCGTGCAAGTTTCTTGGTTAGCATAGAGAGCGAGGATAATCGCAGCCTTTCAACCTGAGCTTCCTCCTTTCCCAACATGGGAACCAATGAAAGAAAAGTTGTGTGCTGACATTGGGTGACACGGAACACCGCGCTCTGTTCTTCGCCATAGCGTGTCGTCAGACTCATACGGTCAGTCTACCTCGTGTTGTACACGGTGAAGGTTGGTGCGATGCAGCAGCAGCCCGCCTTACAAGCCATGGCCGTCACCGCAGCTTTGCAGCACCAACAGCAGCAGTTGCAACAGCACCAGTTTCATCAGCACCATTTGCAACAGTTGCAGCAGTTTCAGCAGCAGCAGCAGCAGCTACAACAACATCAACAGCAGCAGCAGCAGCTACAACAGCAGCAGCATCAGCAGCAGCTACAACAGCAGCAACAGCAGCAGCAGCTACAACAACAGCAGCAACTACAACATCAGCAGCAGCAAAACCAGCAACACGCCCCTTCTCCTGTGACCATCGCTCCAGCTAGCGGCTCTGAAAGCATAATTGATTGCAACGTTGCGAATGGCGGTAAGAACCGTACCGATCACGTCAAGCGGCCCATGAATGCGTTCATGGTGTGGTCGCGCGCGCAGCGGCGCAAGATCGCGCTGGAGCACCCCAAGATGCACAACTCCGAGATATCCAAGCGGCTGGGCGCCGAATGGAAGCAGCTGGGCGAAGAAAGCAAGCGGCCGTTCATCGATGAGGCCAAGCGACTTCGGGAGCAGCACCAGAAGGACCACCCGGACTACAAGTACCGGCCCCGGCGCAAGGTCAAGTCGCCCATGGCCAAAAAGCAGGACCAGCCGTACCCGATGCAGGGGGGCCCTTACTATGCGGAGCAATGCAGAGCCTTCTTGCACCAAGGGTTCGCCGCCCAGCTTCATGCTTCCAACGCAGCAGCGGTCGCAGCCGCCGCTGCTGCTGCCTCCACGCCGCAGATCCCCCCGAAGGACTCGCCCCAGCAGTCTCAGACCTCGCCGCAATCGTCGTCTACCTCGAGCACGCCGTCGTTGCCTGGCACCTACCCGACGTACCCTCCAGACGTGAAGCCGTTCGCGCTGCACTACCCACCGGCCGGGGTTCCCATGGACATGGAAAAGTACTCGATGTTCGCGTCACACGGAATGTTTGCGGCACAACCGCCCGCGACGCTTGGCCCTGGCGGATATGCGCAAGCGTACATGTGCGGCTACCCAGGCTTCCCGACGACCCACGACCCTTACCGCGTGGTATAGCCGTTGCGACCATGCCCGACCATGTAAGTGTCTGCACTTCTATTCTTGCTTCTGAACCTTGCTCCACAGGCGGGGCATCGGGCGTTCATTTTCCTCGATCCGCTTCCATTCATCTCAAGCATTGTCCGCGTTATTGCCTTACGAACCAAACAGTGTGGCTTTCTTCACCGCGTGCTGTTCTCGAAGAGAGCATTACAACTTGATCGCTGCTTACACAATGTTGCGTAAATCTACGCGAATTTCAAGGTTAAAACTCTGCAAATCTTCCCAATGCACCGTGAATGCATACATAGGATTACCACGTGCCCCGAGAAAATCTATAAATGTGCCATGTGCAATCCGTCACGCGCATCACCTGCATTCATCATGTGGCTGCTGCTACTTATGTCGCACGTGCTAGGGAGTACGTACCGGTTTCGATGAGTCACGCTGCTTGACTTTTTTGCTCGACGTACGGACGCGCGAAGCTTGGCATTAGTGCCCCCCTCCTTTCCCCGCCGTGACAGGAGGACATTGACACGACACTAATCCTTTCCTGTGTGTTTTTTAGGCCACCGATATTTCTACACAAACAGAAATTCTAGGAAAACGCTGGTCCACCTGCCTGCAAATGACTCAGCCGTATGCCCAGAGACGCGACGCTTTCTGGAACACTGTAACAACACGCTCCAACAACAAAAAAAAGGCACGTGCATTGTGGCCACGCGTTCAACAATTTGGGCTGTTCCAACCCAGGTTTATCTATTAACTATTAGATTTATCTTTTTTTTTAAAGAATGAGGTTGAGGATTCGTACTTTACAGTGAAGGGTTCCATTTTCACTCGTGCCTTGACTTTAGCCACTAATCAGGTAACCTACTTCTAGTTAATTCTACCCGCTTAAAGTGTATTTTGCCTTCCCTGTCCCTAAACCCCAGTGCTTTGAAAAACTCTGCGCCATCATCCTGAATTATAGGGTGAAGCCCTTTACAGAACATTATCAAGTGTTCGGCAGTTTCATCTTCCTCTCCACACGCACTGCATACTGTGTCTACCTCTTCGTATTCGTATGTCGTTCGAAAAGTCGTCGCCCTCTGCTTAAAAGTGACGTCACTTTTCTTTCCTCCGTCCGCCATTACCGAGCCCACGGAGCACGTACGTCTCAGTGACCAGCTCCGTGTCTACGTTCGCGTGGTGGATTGTTTGGCGTAGTGGGCATGTTTTGATCGTTTGCCTTGCACTTGTGACGAAAGAGAATCGTTCAGAACATTACGCAGCCAGCATCGAAGCAGTGTTGATTGGGAAACTGATCGTTTGTGTATGTAGCGTCCGAGTCAATGACGTAATCGATAAAATAACTCCGCTTGAGATTTGGAAACATACCGTCCCCTTATGAAGTGACACACACACGTTGTTCACTGCCTTCAGGTCCGTCCTGTTTATGCGCGCATAAGCCATGGGCTGCGCTTCTCGGACATCTCTCGCGTGGCCGTACAGTTTAGTGATCACCCTTTGCAAACGGGAAGCCTCCGCTTCTGGTCCTTGTTTTAGCTCATTTACACTTACTTCTCATGTGGCAGTCAAATATCGCACTGTCATTGCAAACCGAATGCAAGAGTTGCAATGCTTGACTCGGTGTCCGTGGTGTGACGTACTTGCAAGTCATGCGTATACAGGTAGAATCGAGCTTCTCTATAGCAGCGGAGAGCGTGGCTGTCGACCCCATTGTTGATTCCGTTAGCTATAAGCTTTCGTTCGTGCTTAAATTATAGCACAGTGACCTAGCATGCAGTATAACCTTGATTAGTATCATTACGGTGTCGCTCTTTACATACTTCCGTAGAAAACGGCAGCTGGAGTGGCCAGCAGGGTGCTTTAGACAAGTGCGATTTCATCTGTACGACTCAAGATGGCGCCCGGACGGGAGGGCCAAACCGTTCGTAGGCAATGGGAACAGATGAGGGGTGTGGACGTTCAGCCCGTGTCACTTTCACCGGACGAGGTCATGAACTGAAATGTATGCGAGACCAAAATACCTTCCCACACCATGGAAACTCGCCACCATATTATTTGTCGTGGCGTGAAAGGTTATATTTCGGCTCCCGTTAAGCGTGGATGCACGATGCTGTCCGAAATCCTGTGCTTGCTACAGAAAAGTGCATGAGCTGGAGTTGACGTATACACTGCGTCTGTACCACTGAGCTGCTGCTTTGACGGATCACAAGCATTATTAGCATTTAATATCCCATTCCGTAAAGCTTGGGTCACAGCCAAACTCACACTCTACCTGTACTATGTAATTAACTGCATTCGGATATTGCAGGTTCGATCGAAAGTTTGTTGAGCAATGCCGTTAGGAAGGTACCGGCGAAGTGCAGGTGAAGTTAGTCGAGAGGCGTGGATTGTAGCCGTGAGTGACTGCACGCTTCATTCACAAAACTTTATTAGTGTCCTGAAGCCCGGTCTTTTCAGATCGAGGCGGGCCGCGTCGGTACCGTCAGGCCGAGCATTTTGGAGTCATTGTGGACCTTCGGGATAACCCGTAGCTGATCTTAATATGCGGTCTCACCATTTCGCTTCGCCGTTCGAGATTGAGCGTGTTGTGGGCGCACGGCGCTCTATAATGTCCACAACAAATGCGCTACCTGCAATGCACAAAAAACTTCGCTTTCATTTTGATCTAGCTGAATATTTTACATTAAATACAATCGGAGTGAGTTATGAGCTTGGCAAAAAAATCATTAAACGTGAAGTGCAACTCGTTCCTCCTGAGTTACCTGCTGATCGTTCATTGCCGCTGTCACTCGGTGCTTTTGTAACCGTCTACGTTCAGTGAAAAATCGTCGTCGTAAACATTACTGTTGAAGGCAATCTGAAGGTTCCTCCGCTGAACGACTTCGCCTACTCCGCGTCACATCATTATCTGGATGGGCATAACATTTTGCTCTCAAACTGCTCACCCCGCACAAACAGTAAATCGCTAGTAGTGTACTGCTACCTATCAATTGACGTACAAAAGTAAGCGGTGCAGCGCTGGTAATTTGAGATTGTTCAGTTATTGAAGAGTACAACGCGAGTCCGCGTGTACTCTTATGGGATTCGTGCACTACAGAAGCTGTTCATGCACGACAGAAAAGGTCAAATGATAACAGTTCAACTAACTTGCGACGCTGCAGAAAACTCACGTAGCTTATGTCTACGCTGTAAGCTATCATCGAAAGCGCGAGTTGCCACTTTTAACACGAAAACTTCGCGTCTCGCCGCATGGTATCAGATTTATCGTGTCGTGCGCTGTTGTAACCATACTGTACGCTTTATTATGCGGCAGCCAAAACGCGCCTCCGTCCGCCGCCAGGAGTGCCAAAGCGTTTACGGCTAGTAGTAGTAGTAGTACTTTTATTTACAGTAAGCCGGATACAGAGCTCACTGCAGGGGCAAAGGGCTAAAGGCGAACAGCCTGACAAAAGCCCTTGTCCCTCCGCAGTCCGTGACAGTGCAAAGCTTAGACATCAGCACTGACAAACATATATATTCAATACATTTGTTTCAAGCAACCTGCAATTGTACACACAAAATTCAAACATAAATAGCATAAGAAGTTTACATAACACATTTTAAGAATTAGAGGTCACTCTCGTAAAAATTCACAACTAAACGATATCAATGAAACAACTCAAAAACAGACACAAAATGCATGCGGATACAATGAATTGCGCTGTATACACTCGTATAATTGAGATAGAAATTTATGAACAATTTAAGCATTTACTAGGTGGCGTTAGCCGCCACCTGATCGAAAGAGTACAGCCATATCAATTCATTCATACATATGGCCAGGTGGCAAGAGCCGTACATACAGTCTTATACATCCTTCCAGAAAGCTCGTCATCGTCATGTTAAAGGGAGCGGCAACTGCCCAGAACATGAAATGGGATGACTGCACGGATGGAAAGATTGTCCCTCATAATGACTCAAACCAACCCAGTTTTTTCTCGTAAGAAGTGGAGTTATAATTTTATTTCTTCATTGAAAATCGCAAAGTAGCTTGTGGCGCCACCGGGTGCCAAAAACTTCGATTATCCGAACTGTCTTGTCACGTGACCGTCAACTAGTGTACGCGGCCAATGATTTCCCTGATCCTGTTGAAATATTCTTCGCTTCTTTATAGTAACATATATTATTCCATAAAAATTTATGTATAGGACTGCGTTAGGAGTGCGCAATAAAGTGGCGCTGCCTTCGCATGACGTAATGATCCCGTGCTCGTCAGCGTGTCTTGAGCAATTTTTCTTCGCGCTCACGAAATCATGCATGCAGTTTCCAGGTCGCTAAGATTTCGGAGAGACTTTTTTACCTACACTGTCTCCGAAATGACGCGCAGTGGCGTTTCCGGTGACTGCACTTGGGTCGAGAGAGTAACGACGACGGGACATGCCATCCAGGACACAGGCGCATCAAACTCGGGCGCAGGCGCACGCAACGCGGTACAAACCGTCTCATTGTAACGACTTGTTATTTTCAAAAAAATAGTCGTAAAGCTCACAATAAACATAGTTAAGCATGGTTACAGGAACTCCTGCGAAACCATAACGACAGCATGTTACAAGTCTCCAGAAAGGCTATTGGCATCGCCATCAATTCTCAGCGTTACCGGATGAAAGGGCTCATCCGTGTTTGGGGCCTTTTAGATGGAAAAATACTGCTCATAAAATGACTGCGGGCTTTAATGAGTAACTACTGCAGCTGCGAACACTAAGAAGGGCAAGCTTTCAGTCACGCCAGAAAAAAATTGGTTCGAAAAAAATCAATTGTCAGTCCCTTAAAGAACAAGAATTTGAAAAACTGATGAAACTTCGAAAATTCGACTCGGATGATGCCACTGTTGTGATAAATAGTTTGGATAGTTAGTTGTATTTTTGATGGATTGTCAGCGCGCCGCGAGTCGTGACGTCACACTCACCGAGGAGCATATAGGTAGCATGTGTTTTTGTCCTCGTTTTCTATTCTCTACCTCTTCTCTCATACCACTCTTTCCCTTCCACAAAAGCGCTGGTAGCTGCTGTTGCTGTACGTATCGGTTTTGAGAACCGAAGTGGGAGTTGAGCGAGTCGAGAGACGCGGGCAACGGCTGTGATTGCTCACTTGCCCGTTTCAGGTGTGTGACGTCACCTTCTCAAGTTCATGGCGCCGCTGCTGGACGCGGCAGTTTGTGGAAAATGCATTAAATTCATTATTTCCCCGGAGTTTCTACCTGGAATTAAGGTTGTCTATCGATTTCAGTGCCCAATCTTTCAATTTGGCTTAAAATCGTGGCAGCAAATCTCGCCGCATCTATGCACGGTCTGAAGCGGAATGAGTGCAAGGAGCTTGACACGGCGTGCTTGCGGTGCGTAATAGGTGAAGCACTGCACGCAACTAGCCGCTTATCGCGGACAGCCGATTATTTCTGTTTCGTCGCTTTGTCAGTTGGCGTATCCAGGACTCCGCTATAGTTTCGAAATGTTCCTTGGTGTCTCCGCCGCGTGCCGTTAGATGCTCGTGCGAAAGGGCCAATCATTTCTGAACTTTGGGGAAAATGAAGGTATGACTTTGTGGTCGGCACTTTCAATGACTGAGCACGTAAAAAGATGCAAATTGGTACTTGGTAATTGATTAAGTAGTTTAGTGCGTAGTTATAAGCGCTCGGCACGCTGCTATGAACTTCATGCTGCAGCCAGCTTGTTGGGGCAATGTCCATCACTATTTTATATCGCCGCTTTTGTACATGATCCTTACTTTGTTCATTTTCCGTGCTTATTTTGTGGGCACGCTGTTTTTGTATATATCATTGTGTGAATGAATGGGGCGGGGCGTTGAAACCAAAGCTAAATTGTCTTCCCCTGGTGTGTCATGAAAGCCCGTGCATTCCCCAAACAGAGAGGTAGCTTCACCAAAGACAGATTTTCCCTGCTCCAAAATGCTGGAAGGCATCCTTTTCACGACGTGACTAAAATATGTCACTACTCGAGGCGTTAAAAAATTGCGAGACACTTAGTCACCTGACTAAAATCATGCAACGTCGTGTAATAGCTAGCCACGTGATATGCTTGCCGCCATATACACTAACTAACTAACTGTAGTGACGTGTCTAAAATCAACCTCGCGTGACAGGTAGGCGAGTGACAGGCCTATAGCCACACTTATCACTAGAGAGAAAGTTAGCATTTATGCTAGCAAAACCTTGGCATTGCTGACAAAGCATGGGCAAAGCTTCGCGAGGCCGAACGCTAGCTCCGCTGATGGCATTGCGCCGCTCGTGCAAGGTGCGCACTTTCTTTTTTCTTTTTATCCAAGAATTCGTAGTTGATCAGCCACACTCGGATTCTGGCCCATTTGCTGCCGTACACCGAACTTGCGCGAGAAGTTCTGGCTGGTCTCACTCTTAGGTTGTCGCGCCATTTTTGTTTCTTTCTACAGTGAATTACCGAGACATTTTTGTGCACCGCGTATTCAACATGTCTTTTGCGACTGCCTACAGTATATTGGACAGCGACTATGCATTCGCAATGAGCTCAGCAACTTAGATAATCAACCTATGTCGGAGGAAATAATTTTACTATATCGCCAGGATGCAACGTCACGGAAGGCCCTGCGATGCTACTGCACTTTTTGCGATCTGAACAGTTGTTTCTCAATAGTTGTAGCCAAAACGCCCTTCCTGTGTGCGTTCTTGTTTTCTCTCAAGTGCAGGTGCGCTTTTTTCCTCTCTCTCTGTACACCCTATTTCCCCACCCCCAGTGCTGGGTAGCGAACCGGATGCCAATATCTCGTTAACCCCTCTGCCTTTTTTCTCTCTCTCACCACTACGTGTGTGCCGATTTGTTCGGCACGAGTATGTTACGTGACTAAGCATCGCGTAACGACTAGTATTGAAAACTGGGCAAGTTGGTAACGTCGTTACTTTGCTGTCTACTTTTTTCTTTTTTTTTTGCGCTGTTCCCCTCGACCAGCTATCAATCGCGTAACATCCCGCCAACGAGCCGAACTGTTCTGCTTAAACGAAACGTCTACAATAAAAATTGCAACGGAAAAATCCATGTTTCGTTTCTTCCGTCGTTCCGTTAGGTAATACGGTATAGGAGGTACTCGCGCGTGACGTCATCCGCTAGGGGCGCTAGCGCGGCAGCCGCCATACTTGTGGTCTCGAGCGCGAACGTCCTCGTCGGACCACAACAAAGGTTCTCAGCAGCACGTGTTGTGCGCATAAGCTCGCGCACGGTTCTTCTTCTTCAGAGGGGCCTAAGGTTAGTCGCAGTGCCCCACCCCCCTTCATTATCCTGTCAGTGTATGGGGCTGACTTTGCCCCTCCCTCCCTATAATGTCAATGCATAGGGCTTGTTTCGTGGCTCTCCCTTCCACCCCCTCCCTTGTGCGCACGCCTATCAGTGTGCGTACATTTTTCCGAAAAAAACGGCTTAGTGAGGTCCAGCGCTGCCAAACTTCAGGCTACCGTATGCCGGATCGCTGACGGACCGCAGCTATGGCGACGCCAGCGAGTGCGCCACCTGATGCAATAAGCTTAGCGAATATGACCTTGCTTTGAAGCTCTATAATCTGTTCCGAAGAGCTGAGTATATACCGGTTTAACTTAGCCTTCGGTGGCGGGTTGAAGTGACTATAGTTGGCCGCCTTTTTTGCGAATTTAGGTAGCAAATGATTATTTCATGGCACACGTACGATAAAACTAAGTATCCTTGTGACTAATTGTGTAATGTTTTGCGATCGTGCTGAACGTTTTTTCCCCCTCCCACTTGGTTATGAGCTTCTCAGCTCCTAATTGTCAGCGTTTCGCGTGTAATGAAGTTGTTGTAATTCCTGTCAAACTGCACTGGGAAGGCTCCATTTTTAAAGGAAAAATATCTGAAGTATACACATCAACCAAACTTTTATAGGACTTGGGCTTCACTCCAAATGAGAATTTTCTGTTCTGTTAGTTGTGCATGACGCTTCCAATCTGACAGGTAACTGCATAAGTCGCCACAAATACTACAGGTTGGAACACTTAGAGGTTGGGTTTCTTCATAAAAGGGGCAATATGAATTTCTGAAAAATGCCATGTTCCACAGCCGTTGGTTGTTCTATACGTAGTGTACCAGTCCTTCAATGCTTTGAAGGTTTCTGGTAGCACGCAGCTTTATCCGATGGTGTGGGGACCGGGACCCTGACGCATGGGTGTTGGTCTCGAAGTGAGGTTCCCGTTATTCCCTAGCGTAGCTGACATATCAGTTCTAGAAGCGTTATGAGGTCTAAAGGAAATATAGCTACGGTGCCGCAGATGTTCGCTGCCGGCAGCGTGCACCAGTTTAGCCGGAGAGCGTATACGTACTCAGGCTGTGACGGTGGCGTCACGTAGAGGAGGGTGAATGCGTTATAAAATTAAAAAACAAAACAAAACTGAGAATGATTGCTCCTATGCCTGCTTGAAGTAATACGACTGCATTTGTTTAGTAACAACAAAGGTACATAGATGTGCACCAAACCGAAGATATTTACGTTGCAGGTATTTACACACCTTTTTGCACAGTGTTACTTATGCACAACACCAAGTAAAAGTTATTCATCTTCCCTTGTTCTGGCGCATGTCATTGGCATATGTACAGTCGTCGGCAAGCTTAAAAGGGGCCCTGAAACACCTTTTCAAGTAACCATGGAATGCATTCACTGGAAGAGCATATTGCCTTACGAATTCAACGCCGCAAAAGTTTTAAGAATCCGTCTTGTACGAGCGCAGTTACAAAACGATAGTTATAGCGCGAGAACAGAACGACGACACAGAGACAAGGACACAAAAGAACACGAGCGCTCGTGTCCTTGTCTCTGTGTCGTCGTTCTGTTCTTGCGCTATAACTATCGTTTTGTAACTGCGCTCGTACAAGACGACACAGAGACAAGGACACAAAGGACACGATCACTCGTGTCCTTGTCTCTGTGTCGTCGTTCTGTTCTCGCGCTATAACTATCGTCATGCCAACTAGCCCAAGCTGCCACACTTCGCAGTTACAAGGATTTGTTGCACGCTGCCAACGCATTCTTTCTTCTCTCGTGCTCAAAATGTGTTGCAGGGCCCCTTTAACACGAACGCCCCGGAGCGTAATTCACGCTAGCGCCGCGTAGCTTTGGGTTCTGCTGCCGAGATGTTACCCACTCGTGCCGACATACTATGCAATCATACCGAGGTACTATCTCGGCAACAGCGATCAACTCTTCGCGGCTCATCGCGCGTCGGAGCGTCCGTCTTTAAGCTTGCTGACGACTGTACATAAGTTCATCCTTTCTATGCTGCGCATGAAGCGTTGCAAGTCGGCGCTGTGTCTGCTTCTCCCACCCTGTAGACTTCTATTTTTGCGCTGTGTTCCCTCCGATTGTAAGTTTTGATGAACGTTCCGAGTGCCTGGCTGACTGATTCTTTCCTTTTTTTTTTTCCCAGGACCAGGCGGACCATTCCTCATCGTGCCTTCTTGATACATCATCAGCGGCTGGTTTAGAACAATTGGTGGTGATGTTGACGCGTTGAACATGGAGGGACTTCTGCCAACTCCTGTGAACGCGCTTACTAGCAATTGATTTTTATTTAGAAACAACGTCCTCATGTACATAAAATGTTCGTCATGGTTGAAACCGAATTTTGAACAAGTGATCATCGAGGAAACAAACAAGCGAGAGATTTTTCGTTACCCCCAATCTAGCTCTCCGTTGAAGGGGTTTTTTTTTTTTTTTTTAGCTAGTGACACTCGCTGGTGGGCTGAAACAGCGGGGTGTACGTTGAAAAAAAAAAAAAAAACAAGTGTATCGGCTCTCGTCTCGCGAGATTAAACAGATGAGCACCAAGGCGGTCGTAGGACGATGATGATTGATTGATTGATATGTGAGGTTTAACGTCCCAAAACCATCATATGAAGAGAGACGCCGTCTGTTAGAGATCGTTAAGGCTTATCGTATCAGGAAGTGTGGCACTGATTACGTCAGCCAGGTGTCCGTTACGTTCTTTGAATGTGAAGGTTTTTTTTTTTTTTCGAGAGTTAAAATGAAGTGTTTGTCCTTTTGGTGTGCGGGCATGCGCGATTTTCATATCTTGCCTCTTTGTTTCATTTGTGATCTCGTGTTCAGTTCTAGGTTTAATGATGACGCATGTATACATAAATATATATATGGGTGTTGTTTCTAAATTAAGTTCAGTTGCTTGTACTGTGTTCACAAGTCTCCGTTCCTTCGTAGCGCTTCACCATCGTGAGCTCCTGATTGTTTTGTGAGTGGCCAACACCATCACTGGACGCTTCAAGCTGCTCTTGTTTCGACCGCCTCTTTTCTGTTCGCACATCATTAAAAATGTTTTGCGAGGTAGCACACCCAAGGCTTAGCGCTCAGTTTTGGTACTGCTTATGAGTTATTCCGGCTACTTTGAGTAATTTAAGCTCCAGAAGTCCTGTTCTCGATACCAACAATAGTAGCCTGTTGTTCTACTTGTCGAGTCCTGTATTGCCACGTAATATACAACACGTTAACTTTTTTGGGTCATCGCACCTCCCACAGCGCTTAAGAGAATACAAAGATCTCACGAAGGGAGTCGTGGGCGTGTGGCATGTCACGGCTCCGCACGTTGTTGAATTACAACTTTGTTTTTTTTCTTCGAGTGTCTAACAAACGTAGTGGTCGACGCCATCTGCGTCGCTGCCCGGTGCTTCATTGTAGCTTGTACCACGTATCATTGAGCGCTAGGTCGTGGGTGCGATCCTCTGACGCGTCCTTGTTGAACACTGCTCGCTTGTAAGCTCGTGAGGCGGCATAGGTAAATTTCGCGCGTGTCCAATGCCGCTGACGTCATTTTGTGGCTAAGGCTCGCGACGCCGGCGCTTCGGTCGCCAGACTGGGGTGGATTGGGGCGGTATGCGCATGCGCAGTAGATTTACTTTGCAACAGGCCATTACGGGGTCTTAAAGCTAGCGTGGCCGCGGTACGCTCAAGTGCGTCCCCGCGTAGCAATACTTCGAGAACTTGGTTGTTCACCTAATGTTCCTTTGCTGTTGCAGTTTCTAGTGCTTTATGCAAATCAAGTGCAAACTTGTTGTTGGTCGTTGCCATTTTTGTGTGTGTGTGTGTGTGTGTGTGTTTATAGCGTGTGCAGTTTGTGTAGCAACGCGTTGTTAATGGACACGTTTTAGTGTTTGATGCGTTTATGAAGTGACTATTTTTTTATTATTTGGACGCTTTCTCGGTTCATCATGTCCAGGATTATTCACACGTTGTTCGACATGCCGCCCGCTTCGACGCCTCGTTAAAATTGGAAGGAGTCTCTTGCCTCGAGCCAATAAGCCGTGATAGCGGTTTGGGATTAGGAAAGACGCAAATGTTACCGACTGTTGGGAGTACACTGCAGCGTCATGATTAGGGTCATAAGTTAGATGCGAGGGCAGAAGGTACGGCCACTTAGCCCGAATTCTAGTCGCACTTTCCCACGTTCTTCCGGAGCTTTGGGCTGGTCTAGCTTGTGTTCCCGATTTTGTCACGACTGTACTGGAGTAGTCCATCAACTGAAGACCAGTTCCGCGTTTGTACACAGTGGTAGGCGCCGTCGACATACTAAGGCGCTTGTGGCGACGTCGTGGCACGTACACGCCGGAGGCTCCCCGACGCGCTGTGCTCGTAGGCAGTTTTGAAGCTGCTGTGCCAGTTGTCCCACGATCATAGTGGGTGGTGTGACGTCATAGCCTACGCTCTGTGACGTCGCTACAGGCGTCTCAGTATGTCGACGGCGCCTACCGCTGTCTACAAACATGGAATAGGTTTACCAGCGCTTCAGGGTGCGTTCTAATGACACTGACAGCAGGGTATTCTTTCGCGAGTTCACCACGCGGCTTACACTATAGAATTGCGCATACAGACTTATCTGTTAGTGCCTGCGCAAATATGCTTGTTAACGGAGGCACACGTAAGTGGTCCCTCGAAACACACCTTGTCACGTCTTCGCTTGTTGAAGTCGAGGTTTTACTTTTTCACTACGTGTTGTTGGCACCTACGAGCGTCACAACAAAGCAATCTGACCAAATTTTTTCCCGCGTGATAGTTTACTTGCCACGTGTTCTTTTTTACTGAGACGAGTAGCGGGCGCCGAGTAGAGCACGTCGTTTTTATCAACTGTGTGCGTGACCATTTTTCTATCCTCTGGCAGGCTGTGCAAAAATGTATAAATGACAAAGAAATAAAATTCTTTTATATGTTCACTGTTTTTGAATGTTAACGCTTTGTCTCACATGTTTGTCTCTTCTGGCAAATTGTGAGGAAAAAATGTAGAAGTGAGCGTATGTGCTTAAATCCAATCCTACTTCCTTTACCTTTTTGTTGTGCAGTGGTACATGTCACCAGCCTTTCTAATCTTAATGTTTTTATTGCTTCTTTATTGATTATCGCGTATTTTATAAGGCATAGGCAGTTCGGAAGTTGTTCATGTTGTCTGCGAGCGGCATTCTTTTCTTTGTCCCAAAAAGGCGTGTCCGTCGTATATTCCAAATACTGCTTTAGCGCAGCATGGATGATCAAACGAAGTGCCATTACCTCGTATCTTACACAAATAGTATGCGCTCTTGGTTGAAGATAGTTGAATGTTAGTGGTTTGTTTTTCATACTAAATTAATTACATGAACACTCGGCTGATTTTTGCCGCTGCCGTCATGCCCCGCATATGTATATTTGTGAATCGTGAAAAGAATTCCCACGCACCTGGCTGGGGATTCGAATCGGTGACCCCTCGCATCGCAGTGCGCGGCGTTAGACCATTCAGTCACACGCCATTCGTGCGAATATGCACCTTTAGTTTCTGTATATGCTATCTTTAGGCTCACCGTTTATCACTGTTTCTTTTTCAGTTTTAACGCATTGTACATGCTATCTAAAGGTAGCATGTACAGTAACTCGCACGTACACCTTGTGTCAGACGCCACCGTGTGGAGAGAGGGGTCATTCTACTCGCTGCACTTTTAAGAGATAAACAAACATCTTCGAGCGTCGCGCTGTGTGTTGTCGACGCTTACAGCGCGTTGTTCAAATGCATTAAGGCGTAACAACTGTGATAGTCGTTACTTGACGCTCGTCCTGTGTGTACCTGCGCGTTCTTTTCGAGCGTCTTTTTTTGTTTGTTTCAGCTACAAGTACCAAGGTGCTTGTGGTTCTTCGTGCATGTGACTGTGACCTTTTTGTAACTGTGACTCTCTGTAAATGCTAAATGTATAGTTGTAGCGTTGCTGCTCTCGTACGTATGTAAAATAAATAGGTTGAATTTGAACTCTCTTGTCGTTTGCTATTCCTGTTATACATCCTCGTCGGGTAGGTATAGCTCCTCGTAGAGCTCCCCAACGAGATGGACTCATTCCGGGGACAATTATTTACTTACAGAATACTGCAGGTCCGAAAAACGGGCCCGGGGGGAGTTTGAAAGATGGAGAGAGAGGGAGAGCACGCACCCACAAACTCGCACTCCACAGTGGTCGTCTGCAATCGCCGGTGCAAGTCTGTCCCCTTCAAAAAGTTGAGCACCGCCTTCGCCGCCTTCACCCGCGATGACCACTGGGGTCGACATCGCAGAATGGTTCCTGCCATCATTGGTCTCTGGAGATTGGCTCTGCCAGTGCCTTCTCTGGCTCTGCGCACTGCAGAGAGGACAGTCGCAGATGTGCCGCAATGGTCTCGTCGAAAAAGGGGTCGGCAGCCATTTCGATAGGAAGGAGAATTGCTTCGTGAAAACCACTCTCAGCCATAAAAGGCAAAGTGGCACAAGAATGTAGAAAGGAAGGAACAAACTAAATGATTATCAAGAAGTAACAATGCATGCCAAGTGCAAACAGCAAGAGTATATAGCAACAGTCAAATGCGAAGTTTTCACGTATACGTACTTGAAATAAGGCCATGTTGAAAAGAGCTAGTCGTATTTTTATACACGTGAAAAAAAATGAAGAGGAAACAATTTTAATTAGTCATTGCGTGATGAATCTGGTAACACGAGGTAACAAATTAATGACTGCATGAAAACAGCAAATGAATGACAACAGGGTATTTGCGTTGACTTCAGCCTTGACAAAGTAGTTTTTTTACTGTTGTGAGGTATATACCTATTCTTGTGGGCTGATAAATAATGTAGTGCATTACTTTATTCCGAGTAGTTTAAAAAATACTGATCACGTTTCTAATCAATGCTTCTGTCTGTCTCCTTTCTGGACCATTTCCTGCGCACTAAGGACGTATATTTCCTTCGAAAATGCCACTCTCCAGTTTTCACGTTAGCGGAGCTGCAGTGTCCTTCTAGAGGCTCAAGCAAGATTAGAAATTGAGCAACGTGGAATAGGTAGGCATGCTTTAGACGCTCACAGCCATTACGAATCGGGGAGTACAAGGCGATATAGGATGAACATCATTCGAGGGCAGGGAAGGTATACAGCAAGATAAAATTTGAGCAGCTATTGAGAAAAGTGGGGGAGGAGCGTCGGGCTATGAAGGTTCTCTGCTACCTGTACATGAAGAATGTCGATACAAAATGAAGGAAGTGAACCAGAAAATTGAGAATTAACTATAGAAGGAGGCTATCTCATTGGTGACTTAAATCAAGGCACGAGTGAAAATTAAACCCTTTACTGCAAAGTACCAGTCCTCAACTTCACTATTTAAAGGGGGAAAAAAGATACATCGAGTTTTTGGTTCACTAAGTATTACGGCTAGGTGGCGTTATCCACCGCCCGATCTAAAGAGTACAGCCACATCAATCCATACGTGCTTCGCCCCTCACTAGTTTCGTTGCTCGGCTCGCGCAGCGGTATATACTGGGCGCGGCATATGCGTGTACTGCTAACCGACTGCT